TGGTGGTGGGGGGTTGCTCTTCAGACTGGAGGCCTTAGTGCTGGGTCCACTGCTTTTCATCATTTATACAAATGATTTGGATGTGAACATAGGAGGTATGGTTAGTAAGTTTGCAGATGACACCAAAACTGATGGTGTAGGGGACAGTGGAGAAGGTTACCTTAGAGTACAACACGACTTTGATCAGATGGGCATATGGGCAAAGAAGTGGCAGATGCAGTTTAATTTAGATAAAGGTGAGGTGCTGAATTTTGGAAAGACAAATCAGGGCAGGACTTATACACTTAATGGTGAGGTCCTAGGGAATGTTGCTGAATAAAGAAGCCTTAGCGTACAAGTTCATAGTGCCTTAAGAGTGGAGTCGCAGGTAGATAGGATAGTGAAGAAGGTGTTTGGTATGCTTGCCTTTATGGTCAGTGCATTGAGTATGGGAGTTGCGAGGTCATGCTGCAGCTGTATAGGACACTGGTTAGACCACTTTTGCAATACTGCATGTAATTCTGGTCTCCCTGCTCTCGGAAAGATGCTGTGAAACTTGAAAGGGTTCAGAAAACATTGACAGGATGTTGCCAGGGTTGGAGTGTTTGATCTAATTGAAGAGGCTGAATACGCTGGGGCTATTTTCCCTGGAGCGTCGGAGACTGAGGGCTGACCTTATAGAGATTTATAAAATCATGAGGGGTCTAGATAGGGTGAATTGCCAAGGTTTTTTTCCCTGGGGCGGGGGAGTCCAAAACTAGAGGGCATATGTTTAAGGTGAGAGGGGAAAGGTTTAACAGGGACTTAAGGGGCAACTTCTTCATGCAGAGGGTGGTGCGCATGTGGAATGAGCTGCAAGAGGAAGTGGTGGAGGCTGTTACAATTACAACATGTAACAGGCATTTGGATGGGTATATGAATAGGAAGGGTTTAGAGTGATATGGGCCAAATGCTGGAAAATAGGACTAGATATATTTAGGATATCTGGTTGGCATGGGTGAGTTGGACCGAAGGGTCTGTTTCCATGCTGTACAACTCTGACTATATGCTGTGGAGCATCTTGAACCACGTTCTGTTTTGCTGCCATGTTTTTACTACTCTTGCTAGTGCTTTGAATAAAGATTTCAGCCTCTGTCTTCCAATGGAAGATAATCACTGTTTTTATTCTTTACTGGAGGAACATGGGCATTGCTGGCTGGTGAGCATCTATTGCACATCCCTAGTTGCACTTGAGAAGGTGGTGGTGAGCTGCTTTCTTGAACTACTGCAGTCCATGTACAGTAGGTAGACTCACAATGCCCTTAGGATGGGAAATCCAGGATTTTGACCTAGTGACAGTGAAGAACTGGCAATATAATTTCAAATCAGGGTGATGAGTCACTTAGAGAGGAGCTTGCAGGTTGTGGTGTTCTCATGTATCTGCTACCCTTGTCCTTCTAGATGGAAGTGGTCATAGGGTTCGAAGGTGCTGTCGAAGGATTTTTGGGGAATTTTTGCATCTTGTGGATAGTATACACTGTTGCTACTGAGAGTTGGTAATGGAAGGAGTGAATGTTGGTGTATATGGTGTCAATCAAGCGGGCTGCTTTATCCTGGATGGGTGTCAAACTTCTTGAGTGTTGTTGGAGCTGCGCCCATCCAGGCAAGTGGGGAGTATTCTGTCATTCTCCTGACTTGTGCCTTGTAGCTGATGGACAGGCTTTGGGGAGTCAGGACGTGAGTTACTTGCTGCTGGATTCCCAGCCTCTGACCTGCTCTTGTAGCTACTGCAGTTACATGGTAAGTCCAGTTGAGTTTCTGGTGAATGGAAACTCCCAGCATGTTGATTGTGGGGATTGGAGCAACATACTCTGAAAAATGTACCATGGCAACCCTTGGAAATCTTGATATATCAGGTACTTGGGAATTGCCTGGGACATGTAACTTCTGATGGGCAACTATCCTCCATCTTTTTTTAATTCAATCATGGAACGTGGGCATCGCTGGCTGGGCCAACATTTATTGCCCATCCCTAGTTGCCCTTGAGAATGTGATGGTGAGCTGCCTTCTTGAACCATTGCAGTCCACGTGCTGTAGGTTGAATCTGGAGCCCTCTGAGAAAGTTTACAACATCCAGTTATTTAGACTTCGGAAGGTTGTGACTCACTTGCATGACAGGGAATAAAACCTGCTCTGGCTCCTGGGTGACTATACAACTGAAATCCCCACCTTACCACTGACACCACACTCCCAACATCCCCAGTGCTGACAACCCACTGGCCCAACACAACAGCCCATGAAACCTCCTGACCATGACTATACCCTCGCACACTTGACCCCCACCCCTTCACGCACTTACCGATAACCCTACTGTCTCACCCCAATGCTACCCTTGCCCCCCCAATTATGAAGTAACTTCATCAATCAGACTACATATTTTTAATTCTTAATGCCAAATTATATGATAAAATGTAATGAGGCCAACAGGCCAAAAAATCTTTACACAAATTGATGATGATTGTAGTCGGATGGTAAACACAAGTAACTCCTTAATCATTGAACTTTGAAATTTCAGTGGTGACAGGTGCACAGATGTCTACCAGTTGTACAGTCTTCATTTAGGGAGCCTGAAGAAGCTGTCTTGTCCCACTCTGTAAAGCAGACTTCTTTTTTGGATCTAATCCATGTAAGAAAATGCATTATGTACTCTTGTACTTAGCAGAATTGAAAGAAAGTGCTTATCCGGCTGGCTTATAAAGTAAATGAATCAAAGAGAAAAAGAAAGTAAATTAGCTAAGTGCATATGGGGAAGAAAAGATGTCATGAATCTTAGTGATGTGTCAAGATTTTGAACTTCAAAGGTTAGTTGATAAAAGCTCAAAGCATAATATACTATTTATTCACAAACTGAACAATAAGAAAAGAAGGACTACACAACATCAATCAAGACACCAAAAATGACAAGTGGATACCCTGCACTGTCAACATTTTAAGGGAGTCCACAGTCACATCTGGGGACTTAGGCTAATCCCACAAAATAATCAAGCAACAACCTAATACAGTAATACACATTGAATTGTATCTTGAAGCCAATGCCCCAGCCTTCTCCATCACCATTCTTAGTCAGTTCCATTCCCAACTGTGGAACATACACAGCACTGGCAGTGACACAGTGATGTACAGTTTGAGAGGTTGTTGCCCTCAATATTTGCTGTGGTCCCATGAAGTCTCACGGCATCAGGTCAAATATGAGCATGGATACCTCATTCTCCACTGTGCTCCCTCAGCTGATGAATCACTTCTTGTTACTTGGAAGAAGCATCAAAGGCACAGAATGTAACCTATGTGGGGTACTTCAAGATTCATCACACAATTGGCTCAGTAGTGCCACCACAGACCAAGTTGGCTGAGACCTGAAGTCCTGAGTCCTGCCAGACTGGGCCTGTGTTAGGCAATGAGAGAATCAGTAGGAAGGTAGAACAAATTTTTGCCCTGTTTTCACCAACCTATGTGTCACAAACCCATCTGTCAGTGACAGTATAGGTAGGAGTGACCACTTGTGAAGGTGAAGTCCTGGCTTCACATCAAGGATACTGTCCATTGTGTTAGGTTGAACAATCATCTTGCTAATTGAGAGAGGTTTGGAACAGATCAAAACTGGGCATGCCATGGATCATCAGCAATTTAATTACATTCAAACACAACCTGCAACCTCATGGGCTAGCATATTCTTCAGTTTAGTATTACCATTAACCTGGCTCAATGAGGAGAGCTTGTCAAGACCAGCACCAGGCACCTAAAGATGAGGTGCCATGCAGGGCTAGATAGTTGCTAAATAGAGGAAACAAAATGATATTGACAAAGCATAAAACAATTCCACAAAATACTGATCAGATCAAAACTCTGCAGTCCTCCCACATCCAGTGATAAATGGTCGTGCACAATTAAACAACTTGATTAGCAACCCAATCACCAACTTTAATAGGCACTTCCTGTAGCAGTGACCGACTGTGGCAGCTGTGTATATCATTTAAAAGACACACTGCAGCAATTCGCCAAACTTGAAAGGTGAAATTTGAATCCCAGCCTCCTGTGCCACTACCACTGTGCCACAAAAATGACTTGGATCGCTTGGAGTTACATCTTTGTTCTTTCACCAATAGTGGGTCAAAACTCTGCAACTCCTTCCTGGACAGCACTGTACACATATGGCAGCAGCGAAAGAAGGTGGCTCACCACCATATTCTCAAGGGCATTCAGGAATGAATAATAAACGTTGGCCTTGCCAGTGGTGCTTGCATTAGGGACAATAAATAATAAACATTGCAGCTTCTATCGTACTGAAACTGATATTCACTGCTGAGGTGACAGTTATATTTGGCAGTAGTTTTAGCTAAAGATTCACATTTTTATAATGTTCTCTGAAATATTTTAAAGATTTTGTTTTATTTAAAATGTTCTTTAGCCTTTGATTTTCAGAATTGCCCTCCAGCACATGATATTTTCTGTCTTTGATGCTCAACAAACAATTTAGAATAAATACAACAATAGAAATTACTGGAAAAGCTCAGCAGGTCTGGCAGCATCTGTGGCGAGAAATCAGAGTTAATGTTGTGGGTTGAGTGACCCATCCACAGAAGTGTTAACTCTGATTTATCGCCACAGATACTGCCAGACCTGCTGAGCTTTTCCAGCAATTTCTATTTTTGTCTTTGATTTACAGCATCTGCAGTCCTTTCATTTTTAATTTAAATAAAATCTTTGCTACTTAAAATATTTTGTTAATTACTACATTACTTTGAAGTACTGAAATGCATTGAAAAATTGTACTATTTATTTTCTTCACCAAACTGAAGTACTTGGTTTTTTTGTTTGTACACGTGCGTCTCCTTTGGGCATCTATATTAGTGGAGCTTTAACAACTGAAGGAGTTACATATCACGTAGGCCAGATTGTTCATTGGAGTACTGCATCATAACTTTAAAATATAATTTTAGGTCCATTCAGTTACATTAATTGCATTTGTTTGCTTTCATTCATAGGTTTTGGGATATTTCCAAGCCTGACTCAGTCCTTGAAACAGTGGAACACCATACAGAATTTGTATGTGGCCTTGATTTCAGCTTGCATATCCCTGGTCAGGTACGTGACTAACGATTTCCACAGTTGATCGAAATGAGTTAATACAAAAGCTATAAACGTTCCAGGTCCATGGTTTGGAACAAATAACAGACGAGAAATGCTTCAGGGAAATCGCATTGTGAAATGCTATCAAACGGCACATTTTTTTCAGCTTGTACACCTTCTAGTACTCCACAGCTAAATGTAATGTTCCTCAGATCTTGCCTAATTAGTGTCATAAAACAACAGGAGATAAAAAGAATGGAATGTTTTTGCTGCTGAGATTGCCCTTGTGTGTTTGATTTACTGGAAGATCATCTAAGCTTTTTTGTTAAGGCAAGCTCTTTTGTTGTGAAATATTGTTAGCTGCTTGATCAGCTTAACGGTAATTGCACTGCCTGATGTGGCACTGCGCCATGTGGACCAGACCAGTTGAAGGTTTGATTTTTAGTTGCTGCTGAGATAGGTGACCTCAGTTGGAGCAGCATATTGAAATGGTCGAGGAACGAGCCCTGTTTTCTACTCTGGATATCGTCCATCAACTTCTATTGGAAAATAAGCAAGCAAAAAACTATTGGATTCGACTGTGCTGCATGCCATAATCAAAACAACCTGCCAGCATTTGCTAACTGGGTTCTTGTGAAAAATTACTATTTGGGCAAAGCAATAAGGGCTATCACTGCAGCAAGAGCCTTCAGAAAAGAAATGAAGCCACCTGGCCCAAAAAAACCCTTTTGCAGTATGTTTGTCAGTAGCATTTTTCTGACTGATAATCATATGAGCTTTTTAAAAGTGAATGTTTTTTTCAAACAATTTGTTCAGTTCAGAGCAGGTGCACAACAATAATCAGCTATGCTTCACTTCAACTGTATCACAATGAACACAAAGATATGAATAGGTGTTGGGCCAATGTACAAACTTGATTGGTGAAATATGAGTGTATGCAAAATGGTAACACTATTACTATAAAGAAAATGCAGCTATACTTTGATTTTATATTATTTATCATTTGTACATGAGTAGTGATTACATAAGATTTTCACACCTACTTGGAAAATTCACCTTTTCATGCAAGTAAAGTAGAAATAACACTTCTACCTGTACTCCAGCTCTCTCGTTTAACCAGGAAGAAATAAAAGTTAATGAATTATTGCTGTAATCGATGGTTGATTTATCAGCTTGTTTCAGGGGTGCTGTGAAAGGTCCCTTGGGGCTGATGCTAAAGTGTGGTGATGAATTGGAGACAGCAGCCATGGATTCAGAATTAAATCAGTTAATGGATCAGATGTAGTGCTTTAATGAATTAATGGAGATCTTACAGTTGGCAACATTCACTTGAGACTTATTGAAATGAACAAATGTCATTAAGAAAGCGTGGGTGGTTAGATTTCATCGCCTACATTTCATTCAGTTTAAAAAAGCAGGCAAAGGGTTAGTGAGACACTGCAATACAGTCAGGAAACCAATAAAGAATGCAGATAAGGACAGGATGCAGTTATTTTGTATTTTTTGAATTTTTCCAACTTGTTTATTTATAATTGCTTTTTAATTCATTTTGTGATGAGAGGGAGGTCATTCTAAGATTGAGTTAAGTTACAAAAACCTACTTTGTGGCAGAATGAAAATTGATTGATTGAGCCTAAAGCAGAGAATGAATATGTTCCAACATCAGCATTCATCTGAGCTAATATCTAAGAGGGCCGCTAGCATCTCGGTGTTTCCAGTTTGTTCACATCTGAACAAGAGATTTGATTAGACTGAAGAAATATTTGGCCTTCAAGAATATTGGATGCATTTTGGAACTAAGGACCTCTAGTTCTTAAAAAAAAAAAGCCGTAGGAATAGAAATTATGGTAACCAAAGCTATTGTGAAGATGAAGCAAATTCTGCTTCGGTGATAAAATAATAATTGCCCTTTGGGGGGAGATCTCCCATCCTTACATAATTCCAGGCTGACTCTAACTATCCTCTGAAATGAGAAGCCACTCACTTCAAGTGCAATTAAGGATTGACGAGAAATGTTGTCTTTGCCAACAATGCCCACATTCCATGTAGAATAGAGAAAAGGCATCTATAATTGCTTCAGTTAGAGTGATTAAAGTTAGTTTTTTGCATGAACGCAGTATGGAAATATGATGCAATAACCAGGGAGCAGACTGATGAAACTTGCCCTTATGGGAGAGGAGCAGTCTTAGATATATGCACTCTTGCCTTAGAAATAAAGTGAAGTAGCAGAAGGATGAGCAGGCTAATAATCATTCCTTCCATAGTTGTATTTTTATATTGGCTGATAAAATAGTTAATCAGCTTATAGAGCTCCCATAACCCGTGTAAAGATGAACATGCTGCAGAGCCAGTACTTTGGTCTCTGTTCACAGCGACAGTTTGAAGTAGGGATTTCAATTCCGCACCCTCTAACTTAGAGGCAAGAATTCTATCGTAAACCAAAGATTTGCCGTTGCATCCTTAGTAAGGAAACATAGTTTAGATTTCAGTCAAAGGTGAGAGTCTGACAAACTATTTTAAACGCAAGTTTCCTTGGAAGACCTTTAGAGGGCAGGATTTCAACGGTGAGAGTGGAGAGTACTTCCACTCAGTGTCCTCTTAACCTTGTTTGTACAATTTATTTAGTCTTTGCTCATATCTGAAGATTCTCATTTCTTATATCAGCTCAATTTATCTTTTCTGCACCATGTTAATGCCCTTGACTCCTTCCAAAAGTAAGATACCAAAAACTGGAAGCCCCAATTCTCTCTTAAAATCTAATCATGGACATACATTGCTTCAGCATTGTATTTTTATCTTCCATATAGAATTATGCTTTATAAAAGCTGTGAGCCAGTCATTTTTTTCCAGCTTCATCAATTGACCTTGTACTTTTAAGAATTCTGGTATCAAAACCCTAAGTTTCTGTATCTAGCATGTTTCACCATCAATGTAAGCAATCTTTGCATGTTCTCCCTCTCAAAATGTGTCACCTCATAATTCTCGTATTAAATTTGATTTGAGATCTATTTGCTCAATCTGCACTGACTCGTGAGGATTGTTTACACATCCCTCCAGTCTACCTTTTATTGACAGCAGCGTGATGCATTGATTTTTTTTCAATTCAACATGTGTAGAAGTAATATATTGTGATGCAATGAAGAACCAGTTCTGGGATGCTTAGTATTGTTTCTCCAATGGTAGGCTAATCTAGTTGAGAGCATTACACATGCCACGTGAAGGATTGACGTTAAATGTGCTGACTGATTAAATGGATTTTTTTTCAATTTTATTTACATTTCCTTTAGCATTCCAAACAATAATGTAATATTTTAACCAAAAGAACTGCGGATGCTGTAATAAAATGTAATATTTTAATTCTCCTAGTTGGGTATTGTACCGATCTATTAATGAATTTTGTTTTGCCATCTTCATAGCCTGATTTTGTGTCTTATTGACTGTTTTTAGTTGTGTAGTGTATGGAAATCAGCTAACTCAGGGCTTCTGTAATGCTTCCAGGTTGCAGACTGTGCCTGGGATGAGACAGTGAAGATCTATACCCCGGCTTGCCTTACAGTTTAGAGATTAAACTTGGCATCACTGGAAGATTTAAGGCGACATATCCTGAATGAAGTGCACTAGTTTACTGTTTGATTCGTGTTGTGTATACATGCAACATTTTGGAACTCACAAAAAGTGAACAGTTGTTATGTGGTGAATTTGTAAAGCTCTTTACCAATTTAATTACTGTTTATATTTTCAGCAGAAGGTACAGCTGGAAATGTTTTATTATTGCTGCCTTTCATTTGAAGGTGAAGAATAATTGAAAGTTGTTGTATTATAGTACTGTCTAAAACATTGAGAAATCGAAATGCAGCAGTACTATTTTATCCTCTCACTTTACAGACTTTTTGGAAAAGTGGGTAAAATTCAAAATTGATATTTAACATACTTATTTTTAATTATAATTTATATAACTTTTGACCTTGTGCCTAGAAGTTTGGAAATTGGACAGTTGGACTGTGCATTGGGGAAATGTTTGAATGCAAGAAGATGTTTCATTCATACACTTCACCTCATGTCTGGGTTCTGAATAGTATCTGATCAAGGTATATTTATATTCCTCCTGTTCCATGGGGACTGGATACTACAATGGACTAGAATTTGGCTTTTCAGCCTTGGAAATTAGTTGATGGGAATCTTCACTTTACTGACTGTGAGGACCTGAAATGAGTTACATCAGATTTACTCTAGACCTCAATGGGCTAGGGACTGCAAGATAAAATGCTGGCATACATTGACACTACCATGACAATTAGACTCTTGATGTGAGAAATTGAAGTATTCTGGTGGAGTGGAAGGTGCCTTTGCGGCTGGAGCTGAGCAATGTTGTGAAATGGATGACCAGTTAATCTGTTTTTTTGACAGTATTGGCTGAAGGAGGAGCTTTGACCAATGTACCAGGAAAGCACCCTTGAAAAGTAACGCCAGAAAGCCCTCTGAAACATGGAGACAGATTTAATTTTTTGAGAAATATTCCTGGAACAACTTTAAAATATACAATTAAATCTATTTACTGGAATAGGCAGTAACTTGTACAAAGTAGAATTTTTGGACACTTTTTCAAATATTAAAATAATGAAATTAATTTGAACTCTTACAGAAAAGAGCTTTACATCTTTCAGAATATTTGGATTCTTTTCGTCTTACTGCAATTGCATATTGTCTTCAATTATTAATCATGTCATTGCAAAATGTATATATATTTTAATAAATATGCTAAAGTAACTCATTTTCAAGCCAAGTAGCCCTTGTTATCGATAAACAACAAAAACAATTTGTATTTCTTCTATAGTTTAATTTACGTAAAAAGATACGTATGCAAGAGGACATATTGGTCTAGATTTTGCTGGAGTGCAATATCCCATGGTATGCTGTGTTGGTTAGACTTTTTCCATGTTCTTCAAAACCTTAAAAGATTTTGCCCTGCAAATTGCTGAAAGTGTCAGCTCTTATAAAGGGAATATGAGACTTTGCTAAATGCTGAGACTGACAATCTATCTCAGTAACTAATTTGATATGAACAAGGAACAAGAATAGGCTGATGAGTCTACTCTACCTTTTAATAAGATCATGACTGATCTGATTTTAGTCTCAACTCTACAACTCCCTGATAATCTTTCATTCCCATGGAAATCAAGAATCTATCTTCTTCTGCTTTAAAAATATTTGAAGTTCTGCACCCACTGTCTTTGAAGAAGGGAATTGCAAAGACTCTCAACCCTCTGGTAATGAATAAGACACAGTTAATGATATTTGTAACCTTGCTGACGAAAATCACAATGAGCAGTGGGAAATCAATGAACTGGAAGTAGGAAGAAGCAAGCTCCCAAAAGCTAAATCCCTGTGATCCCACAACATGACCACGGAGGAATGAAGGGTAACCACACAATAAGCCCCTGCTCAACCCATGGTGTTGCAGGATGATATAAAATCCAGTAACAACATGCTGGATGTTATAGTTGCAAAAACACAATCTGATAGTTAACCAAGCTGCCATTCCTTTGTATTTAACAGCTGGTCTTCTGCTGCCAACAAATCCATATGAATGCACTTTAGTGATACCAGAACCAGGTGAACAGCCATCTGTGAACTACCTTCTACTTAATTTATTGCATGTTTCTGTGGGTGGGTCTAGAACTCAAACAGAGGGACTTGTGTCAGAGTTTTGGAGTTTGTACTCTCAAGTTAAGCATGGAAAAATTACTCAAATTGTAATAAGGCAATTAGCACAATCAACTGAACTGGTCATTGCAGTCTCTGCCCTTCTCATGCCAGCTGGAGAAAAGACTATCTTCTCTGATAGTCAGTTACCATCAATATTATCAGCTCAGCTGGGAAAAAGAGAGGGTTTACTTCCAGACACAAACCAATCCCCACAACTAAATGACTGCAATATGTCCCTAATCGAGTGTGGGCACAGCAATATCCCACAGACAGAGCAAAACTCAGAGCAGAGTCAAGAATAATCCTGTACTGTTTATTTATTATTCAATCACAGGATGTGGGTATCAATGGCTAGACCAGCATTTGTTGCCCATCCCCACGTACCCTGCAAAAGGTGATGGTGAGTATTCTGCATTCTTGTGGGGCTGCAGTTCATGGTGGAGTGGGGGCAGGGTCTGTAGATACACCTATCGTAGAGAGACACTTCTAGAATTTTAACCCAGTGACAGTGAAAGAAAAGCAATATATTTCCAAGTAAGGATGGTGTATAGCTTGGAGGGAACTTGCAGGTGGTGATGTCCCCAGGTATCTGCTGCCCTTGCCATTCTATGTAGTAGAGTTTGCAAGTTTGCAAGGTGTTATCTAAGGAGCCTTCAAGAGTTGTTACAGTGTACCTTGTAAATGGTTTTCACTGCTTTATTGTGCACCCGTGGCAAAGGGATTGAATGCTGAATATGATAATCAGGGTGTCAAACAAGCAGACTGTTCTTTCCTGGCTGGTGTCAAGTTTCTTGAGTGTTGTTGGAGCTGTACTCATCCAGGCATGTGGAGAGTATTCCATCACATTTCCTACTTGTGCCTTTTAGATGGTTGACTTTGGGGAGTCAGGAGGTGAGTTACTCACGGCAGGATTCCTAGCCTCTGACCTGATCTTGTAGTCACAATATTTATATGGTTGGTCCAGTTCAGTTTCTGGTGAATGGAAACTCACGGGATGTTGATAGATGTGAAAGATTCAGTGGTGGTATCCCAGAGTCTCCATAGCCAAATGAGAAGTGAAATGCTGATGAACTGGCCAGAGGCTTCCAAGAAAATGAGTAGCTATGACCATGGTTCAGGTTTCTATTTGTCAACAATAACCCACCCATCGGAATAACCTGGCTATGGAAATGCAAAGGCAGGGTCTTTGGATTCAAGGAATGAGGCCATGAATGGCACAGTGCCTGAGCTGTCAGTATGTCCCAAAAACAGGGAGGACATCATGTGGGTACAGGACTAATTCAGTTCCAAAACCATTTGGAATCCCAGAGCCTCAATCGGTTATAATTTCCCAAGGGATACACATGTTTACTGGATATCAGAAGGAAAATAGTGTAACGCAGTGAATAGCCAAAAAACATACTGTGACCTGACATAAGAGAACTAGAGGATTGAAGGGGTGGATCAGTAAATTTCTGTGCACAATACAATCAATAATTGAAAATAAATGTCCCACCAGGGTCCCACATAAAGGAAATGAGTGATCTATGAAAAACCTCCAAATTGATCATTTTGGATCCCTGCTTTCCACCTCTAAAGGCAATGAGTTGCACTGGTGGTATAGATAGTAAGCAAAGCCACTGTGAATCAACTGTGAGGGCCTGATGAACATAGCTTCAGTGATGAGGTCTGCCAGTGAATGGGGAATCTTCTTGAAATTGTTGTTATCCCACAACAACCAATTTAACATTTTCTGCTATGCTTGCAATATGGCTTTCCAGAAGCTATTCTATATATGTTATATATATTTGCAGGATCCTCCACTATGCAAATAGAATATGTCCAGGCATTGCATCTTCCACATTTACAGTAAAGTATGGAGGTCAATCTTTCCCTAGCACATTCCCCTTGGCAATATCTCAACTAATCAGGTCCTACTTGCCAACCAAAGAACTTTTTGTCTGTTGTATAAATTGTTATCCCATTTGAAATTTGGTCTTCTTACATGTGCCACGATAAGTGTGAGACTGAAACTTTAACAATGTGTCTCCTTTTCAGTAATACTCAAGAACAAGGTGGTGTAGTGAAATTATCATCTAAAATTAATCCACTACTGTTTGATGTTGCCAGCCAGATTGGAGCTGGAGGTTGGTGGTCGATTATACAGCTTTAAATAAGGTAACATAAACAGCACAGCAACAAAATTTCACAGCTGTTCCCTCTGGTATCAAGTGGGTGAAATATAAATCTTGTACTAATCTAGCAAATGACTTTTGGTCATTTCCAATCAAAGAGACTAACTGAAAAAAACAAATACAACTGGACTTGATAGATTTCATTACTGCTGGGACAGATTCCCCTGGGCTTTTGAAACAGCCTTGCTTCTTTTTCCCTCATGTCACTAATTGTTGCCTAACGTCAACAATCCTGTACACATTTTATACATATTATATATATATTTCATACCGTGATCCTAAGAACTCTGGTATTGATGCAGTTTTATCGAGACTTACTGGTAGCTAACATCAAGAAGAGTCACATCTTCCCTTACTCTATCAGTATTCCGAAAGGACAACTCCCTCCATGATACCCTAGTCCACTCCTCAGTCATTCCCCATACCCCAGCTCCCTCCTGTGGCAACTTTCCAGGCAAACACAGAAGGTGGAACACCATTTACCCCTCAATATCTCCTGTCTTTTATCACAGACCATCCTTTTGGCCTTCGTCCACCGATTTCTTACTCAAACGTCAATTTATCCCTAACTTCTCTCAGTTCTGAAAAAAGGTCACAGATTTTAAATCTTAACTCTGTTCCTCGTTTCTCAGACGCTCCTTCACTTGCTGAGTATTTCCAGCATTTTCTTTACTTATAACAGTCTATTAGTTTGGGAAGGTGTATATTTGTAGGCATACAAATAACTTGAAAGGGTGAAAGATTAACTCAGTCCTATAAAGAGAGTTTAGTCACCATTCAATACTTAGCACTCTAACAACCTACAATTATGTTTAAAACTCCTGAATTTTGCTGGATCCTTTATGCTAACATTTGCAGAGTGCTCAGCATCTCTGCATTCTAAGATAGGCAAAGTGATAATAGGATTTATATTCTCATCAGATGAATTATTTAAAAATGCAAATAGTTTCAAACTGTTACAGCACTGAAGGAGGCTATTCAGCCCATCAAGTTCATGCCAGTCAATAAAGATCTGACTGCATTAATCCCCTTTTCCAGCTTTCAGCTGATTGCCCTGGAATCTATGACAAAACAAGTGAGTATCTAAACAATGCTTCAATGTTACAACAGCTTCCAACTCAACCATTTTATAGGCAGTGAGTTCCAAAGTCTCATCACCCTCTGAATCAAAAACACTATCCTCAAATTTCCTCTTTGGCTCCTACCTCATACCATAAATACATGCCCCTGGTTATTGACCCTCTATTCATGGAAAAAGCGCCTTCCCAGCCATTTTATCCATGCCCACCATAATCTTATACAACTCTACAGATACCCCCTCAAACTTTGATGCTCTGAAGAAAACAATTCCAGCCTTCCCAATCATTCCACAGAGCTCAGACACTGAAGACCCGGCAGTACCCTCATAAATCTCCTCTTCGCTCTATCTAATGCAATTTAATCCTTCCTATCTCTGCATCATAGAGGAACATGACACAGGGGAGGGAATTAAACAAATGCCTTTGAGGCCACTTACAAAATACAGATCATTTACAATGATTGTTTATCAATAACAGCTCACAAGGAAACATTCCAACAAACCTCAACTGGAAAGAGGATAGTAGTAGAGAGTTTGAGATTTGTATTCTTTTCATCCAAAAGTATTACTACCCACATCCCTTGACAGTAAGGCATCACAACGTACTGATGAAGTAGCAAGTAGAAACATTATCCTCAATTTTCCTCTTTGGCTACCACCTCTTACCTTAAATCTGTGCCCCCTGGTTATTGACCCTCTACTCATGGAAAAAGTGCCTTTATGCTTTAGAAACCCTCATTAATCTGTGCAGTTAGTAATACTGTAAAACAAGTTACAGCAATGACTAAGGGAACAAACAGGACTTACTAATCATGAAGGA